TAGAATGGTTTACTGAACTATCTCCCACAGGTTAAAAGTATGTTTCAGCGATAAATGAATTATAGTGAAAACTTCAGGAACTGACTGAGAACAGATGATGCATTGCTCACCCTGGTGAACTCCATCTTCAAGGCACGGAGGAAAGGAGATTGGCTTTGGGTACCAGAAAGATCTGTGTTGGATGCAAGAAAGAATTTCCTAGAAGTTAAATTCTTAAGCAGTTCAACTGCTGTGGGCAAGTACTGTATTTTTTCACACTTGATCAGAATTTACAAACAAAATTAATATATTAAGGACAAAAGAAAGTTGGTGTTGACAAAGATTCTGTTATGAAGCTATATCATCTATTAACTACAGTACCTCTGGAAATTTATCTTAACCTTTATGAATCGCACTTTTAGCACTGTAACCAAAGATAATCTTACAATAGGGTAACCAGGTATTACCTGAAGATGCCAAGTTATGAGTTCTTGGATATGTAACTATTATCTTATTTTTTAAAAACGACTTTACATATGAAATTAAATTTAGTATTTTACCATATGAAGAGTCTACTGAGTATTTTTTTTTCAAGAGAGGCTTAAATATTTCAACTCTATTAGGTATCTTTAGAAGACAGAAGGAGAGGACTGCCTCACACAAAAATGCATACGATAAAATATAGAGAAGATGAAGGCAGGAAATCAGGGTTGTTTTTGTTGATGAGAAAATTTCAAGCCATTATGATGGCTAAGTTCCATTGTTGACTTGACTAGATTTAGAATCACTATGCAAACTTATCAGTCTATGATGGCATTTTCTCCTTAACATCCAAGTGATTAAAGCTTAGAACAAAACATGTTTCTCCGTTATTGTTATTATTATTATTACCTTGCTGGTGATTTTTTTTTCTGAAATTGGGCCTCACAGTCCAGGCTGGCCTGCAACTCATAGTTTACCTCATGATGATCTTCAGTTCACAGCCTCCTACCTCCACTTCTGAAAGCCTGTGATTTAGAAGGCATGCTCCACAACGTCTGGCTCCCCATCCATAGTCGTTAAATTGGCAAGTACAAGCATTTACTTAACAAATGGTCTTGTGCTTGAAAGTAAAAAATGCTATCCCCAGAACCATCTAAAGTTTACAGGGAGAGAAACAATGAGGGAGCTTTACATTCTTGACCACAATTTTGAGATGTGTGTCATGATCAGAGTAAGTCGTGATCTTTGAGAACCAAGTTTGGTTATCCAAGGGAATCTACCTAAAGTCTGGATCACAGAGTTCAGCCAGGGATGACTGAAAAGAGGAGAGTTCAAGTAGATTTTACCTAAGCAAAACCTAAAACTTGACATGGCTATGTGTCAGTCTACATAGGTCTAAACTGGGGAATTGGGCACTTGATATCCCCTGCTTCAGAGAGTCAAAGTCAGGTGATCAATGCTATAGGGAGGAGTGGAATAAAATGTCAACTTTTCAGGAGAAAACTTAAAAATCAAAAGAAGAGCATTAGGATTAGATTATCTCATCAACCTTAAACAGTAAAAATATAAACAATGGTTACTATGGACAGGCTGCAGAATAATCCCTAAGAATGAACTTTTAGTTTTAATAAGCATTTATTTACACTTAAAACTCAGGCTGGCCATTTCCTGCTTGGAAGATTAAATCTCAGGTATGTCCAACTAATGATTTCCAGAATAAGATTCATACAAAAAAAGAGAGGAATCCATAAGGAAATCGGGATAGTTTCTTTAGATTTGTCTAATGCTATAGACAAACAACACAGTAGGTGGAGAGTCCTATCTGGCCTTCATCTTGTATATTCAAACAATATGCAAGAATTTAAGATTTAGCGAGGAACTTTAGTTTTCCCAGAAAATATAATATCTAGAAAATACAATAGCTAAACACTTCCTAAGTTATTCTTCAACTCCGAAATCACTACACCGGCACATGTACTTTTGAGTCCCCATTTTGTCACCTACTCATTTGGTGACTATGGGCAACTAGCTAAAGCCTTCTCTTGCTTCAAGCAGAGTTGCAAAAATAAACATCTTAATAAAAATTTCTGAGTGGTGTTACTAAGAAATAAGTAGTATGTATGAACATGTATGTGTTGCCTACACATCTTTATGTGGATATCTGCTCATGTGCTCATGCATGGAGTAGCCGGAAGTGAGTGCCAGATGTTTTTTCCTGATCACTCCCCACCTTATTTTTTGAGACAAGGTCACTCACTGCTCTGAGCTTCACTGACTAGCTGAATTGCCTGACCAACGAGCTCTGGGAATTTGCCTGCCTCTCCTTTTGTCACCAACTCCACACCCAGCTTTTTATATGAGTGCTGTGAATACAGGCTCAGTCCTCATGCTTGGGAACTGGGGATTTTACTAAGTCTCCCTCAGCCCACTTATGAACACATTTATTCAAAAGTAATCTCATATTGTCAATAAGATTTTATATCAGCTGAGGAATACTGATCATAGCAATAGGAACGTCTTCAGATTCAGTGTCTTACTATACTGGCAGCTTATTTTGTGTTATTCAAGACATGTTTTCACTGTTATATGGTGGGTTTGCCTTCTCATAATAATAACTGAAAAACAAAATTGTGTCCATTTTGTAACTCAATCATCCCTAACTCTGATGACTCTCCTGCCTTAACTCTATCAGAAAGAGAAACAGGGTACCATAAGGTAAAAGTCCATTTGGATGGAAAAAAGCATAGCCATAGATAGTCCCTTAGGTCAATGAGCTACATACTGCACATAGTTGTGGAAGCCTTGATGTAGCTACCTCCTTGTGGACCATCTTCCTCCTATTGGTAACATAGCAGTGTGGAAAGGGTAAAACACATTTTAGGTAGATGGCTAGCCATTGCTGCCTCAGTCAACTCTTTTTTTCTAAATATCGTTTTACACATCCACTCTTGCCCTAGACTGTGTGATTCACGCTTCCATCCAGTGATAGAACCTGACTCAAACTGCAGCGATTCTGAAGAATACACTCTTTTCTCCACCAGACTCATGATGTACTATTTATAATCTATTCATCCATGAATCAAAAGGCAAATGCCTTTCTTCCTCACCCTGATACCCAGCATGCAATGTTGCTGCAGGGAAAGGACAATCACCATACAAACACCCGCTGGACAAAGAGAAGATTGTACAGCACATGGCAGTCCCTGCTTCATGTTGGACATGAAATTCTGCCAGGCAGGGTGTAGATCTTGGCAATGACAAAAGCTCTCTGATGAGACTTCGGCTTAGAATTTCATTGTCAAAATGATTCTTTCAAAGTTCCCACGTTTCTGATGTAGCAGAGAATTCTGTGAGCCAATAAAGAAATCCACCCAATTTTCCTTTAATCTTCATGCAGAATAGAGCACATTGTCTAACAGAAGTTGCAGTGAGGATTTTCCAATTTTATTTCATCCATTTGAGTTCTAGTTCTCAACCCTGTCAGTCTTTAGGTTTTGAGGATTTAATCTACTCCCTTTTATTAACGCTTTCAAATAGTAAATTCTTATCTGAATTCATGCCTTTCTGGTAGCTGCTCATAAGATACAATAAGAAACAATAAGTAGAAATCATAATATCCTGCTTCCTAACTTCTGGTCCTAGAGTCACAGCCCTGAAGGCACATGACCTATCAACAGGAACAGTGATGTGGGAGTGTCATATATCAATCTGTTGATTTCATTGGTGAAGCAATAAAGAAACTCCTTGGCCCTGATAGGTTAAAACATAGGTGGGAGGAGCAAACAGAATAGGATGCTGGGAGGAAGAGGAAGTGAGCTCAGACTCTGCTCTGCTCCTGGAGAGACTTGACAGCTCTGCTCTCTGGAGCAGAGACGCCAGGCTCTGCTCTCCCTGGCATCTCCGACCCAGGATGGACTTAGGCTAGAATCTTCCTGGTAAGCGCACCTTGGGGTGCTTACACACATTATTAGAAATGGGCTAAATTAATATTAGCCTAGAATTAGCCTAGAAGAGGCTAGATAGAAATGGGCCAAGCAGTCGTTAAATGAATACAGTTTGTGTGTTGTTATTTCGGGCATAAGCTAGAAGGCAGCTGGGGTGCTGGGGACGCAGCCCCGCCACTCCTTATTTCAACAGAACAGTGTTATTGAAAATACGCTATTCCAAAACATGCCTGTTGTTTATTTCCCCCAACTTCTAATGTCTATTTTTACCATCACCCAATGTTGAAATTAATCCTACATATTTTTGAAAATATTAATTGTATTTCCAGTACTAATCTGCCTAGGTAACAGTAATAGAATAAAAATAATTTCACATGTGGTATGTATTTGTTTCCTACTAATAATATATCAATTTCTGGAAGATGTTAATGTTGTGTCTGGGTTCTTTTATATCAGTTAGGGAAGCGTTTGGTTCTGCCAGTAGGCAGAGGATGAGAGTATGGGGGATTCAATTATTTTCTTAAGATAACAGATCAAGTGTACCTAACATCATTGCCTTTTATATTTCAGTGCTTAGAGAAAGTCATATTACCAAACTTGGACACATGTAAACTGAGACGGCACTTTCATTTTCCAGATGCTCAGACCCAAATAATCACACAAAATTATATTAATTACAACACTCTTTGACCAATGACTTAGGCATATTTCTAGCTTGCTCTTACATCTCAACTTAACCCATTTCTATTAATCTATGCATCACCACGAGGCTGTGGCCCACAGATAATGTTCTCTCAACTTTTTCCTTTGGCCCCTACATAGTGTCTCTTCAACTTTGCCTATTCTCTCTCTCTAGCTCTGTTCAGATTTCTTGCCCAGCTTTACTCTGCTAAGCCACCAGCCAAAACAGCTTTATTCATCAACCCAAAAAAGCAACACATATACAGAAGGACAGTCCACGTCAGACACAGTTATATTTATATCTTACATATTTATAATAATATATAAAATATAATTATACATTAATGTGAAAATATATGTATATAATTACATATATATGACTGGGCAGCTATATTAACTTCAGTAACTTCTTGGTAAGTTTCCCTGTTTCAGTGTTTTCTCATTTAGATTCAATTCTTGTCATAGCAACCACAACCAGTTTCTTTATTGCTTTGTATAGTTGGTCAAAGGATTCTTTGAAAAAGACATGTGTCTTCGGAAGTGGTGCACATAGTATTTACAGCACTTTTTCTCATCTTAAAATTTCTTGCTGTCTGTGCTGTTCAAATATCTCCTTAATCCAACCAGATTTTTATCAGGTCTGAAGCTACCATTCTGGCTGAGATTTTATTCATCTCTACCATAAGTATAGCAGTGGCCTTGACTTGGATATGTCACTTTCATAGTCTATTTCTTACACAGCAAGAATCTTGAGTCTGTCACTATTGCATGGTTTCAGCTCATTCATAATAACTTCAAAATCCTGTATACTTTGTGGTTCTTGTGACACTCCTCTGGGAACTCTTCTGGGTCTTATCTCCTCCTGTTCTGCTCTTTGCCATTCTTCTTCAGTTTCAAGGGCCTCTTGCTTTAAAAAAAAAAAAAAAATCTGAGAATGCAAACTCAGACTTGTTCTCACTGCTGCTTCCATCTTTGATCTTAGCTCCCAGACAATTCCAGGGCTTTCTATTTGTGTCCTGTAGAGACAGTAGAACATCTTCCATGACTAAACCGGGCAGAGAACATTTGCTTGGCATTAGCATTCTTTAACTCACGGCCACAGTTTCTTTTCCTCTGTAGTATTCGTGACCACTGCACATATCTTGTGCTTATTTATTGTCTATTTACACTTACCATCAAAAATGCAAAGTAAGAGGATAAATTCTGTCAGTTTTGTTCAGGGTCTACAATACTACCACTCTCATGGTAGGTACTCAATGAATTATCTACATATATTGTTATACTAATATTCTTCAGTCTTATATATTACTCTACTTATTAAAACAAATATTCTGAGTTATGAGGATTATTCATTGAAGACAGGGGTTCAATAAAACTACTTTATCTTAAATTAGTAATAATTGGCCAACTAGCCATTTTACTTGTCTTGATTTCACTCTCATATAAAGGATATTGTTGATGGGAGGCTGCTTGTTTGTTTCCTGGCCGACTGGCAGTTCAGGTCCAAAATAACCACACAGAAACTATATTATTTAAATCATTGCTTGGCCCATTAGCTCTATCTTCTTATTGGCTAACTCTTACCTCTTAACTTAGCCTATTTCCATTAATCTGTGCATCTCCAAGAGGTCGTGGATTACCACTAAAGTTCCAGCACATCTGTCTCAAGCAGAGGCTCCATAGCATCTCCCTGACTCTGCCTCCTTTTTCCTGGCATTCCATTTAGTTTTCCCTGCCTAGCTCTATCCCCCTATAGCTCTTCTATAGGCACAAAGCAGTTTCTTTATTAACCAAGGATATTCACAGCATAAAGAGGAAAATCCAACCTCAGGATATTTTTCACAATTTTGCAAAAACAATGTGAGACTAAGCCTATCAATGCCATATGTCCTGTTCCAATCATATCCAAGATGAATGAACTTTAATTATAGTAATTAATAACATTAACAACAATTTATATTAATAGTTCCATTGTCTGAACTAAAAATTCATTGTGTTTTAATGTTTATTATTTGCTTCTAAGTATCCAGAGGTATTTCCTAATTTAGTCACTCTAAAATTTTCATTTTTAATTGAAAGTTGTGAGTTTTGGTATAAGTTCCAAGTATACTACATTTCAACAATCCATTATAAATGAGGAAGCAACTGCCTGGGGGATTCTCAGCTTCCCCTTGAATACAAAAAATGCTAAGAGCATATATTTAGTGAGTCCCCTCTCAAAATGTGTTCTCCATCTCACGAACCAGATTTTTTATGGTAAAATATAGCATGGTAAAACAAAACTTGACAGTAGTCTGCCTGTAGAGTACAAACTGCATCCCCTAGAAGCCAGATCAGCTCAAGTGAATATGGTCACGAAAAGCAGTAGGTGAGGAATGGAACCCCCCAGCAGCGTTAGATTAGAGATAGTCGTCCTCTAAAATGTCATCCTAAAAGTTAAGAAAGTTGGAAAATATTTTGTCCCCAAAAAATTTAAACAATATGAGGACATGGATGAAAAATCCCTTTATATTTGTTTAAGTTATTTGATTAATTTGGAACTCATGTTGTGAAATAAATCACTAATAAAACAATTAAAAGTACAGCTGGTCTGGCCACAGATTGGCTTGGTAACCAAATGCCTTCCTTCCTTCCATGCCTGCAGTGGAGAGCTTCATTGTGGGTTTATCTACTAGGTAATTTAGGACTTCATTGTCCCTCACTCTCCTTAAAAAATATTTCTTCTTTGATTTAGTGCTTATCAAATTGAAAACACTTCTAATTTTCTTCCAGTGGTAAATTCTTCCCAATATTGTGTTTTGCCAATTCATATATCTACCTAAAATATCTTTCAGTGTTACTTCATTAACATTATCTCATCTTGTTAATTTCAAAATCTCCTGAAGTTCCCAAATCAGAGAATGAAAGAAGCATAGACACATCAAAAGAACTTTTAAATAATGGAAACATCTTTCTATTAATTTACTGAACTTGTTCATATATCAAAATGATTTTTTTCAAGCACAAGATTTTTTTATTTTGTACTTACAAGGTATGTGAACTTAAGAGAGTAGTCTGTCTATATCTGAGCTTAGGAGAAACAGATTCTGGAAATCTAGAATTTATAAAACTCATACAGATATATTCTTAAAATATTGCAGAAGAGTGGGGTCTGATGACTCATGCCTGTAATCCCAGTATTCAAGAAGCTGAGGCAAGAGGATTGCTGTGATGTCAAGTCTTGCTTAGGATAAGTGGTGAACAACAAAATTCTAAAATTAACAAATGAAACAAGATGTAGAGGAAATGACAATTTCTTCTATCTGAAATAACAATGAGGAATATAAAAAAGATGCAGACTTCTAACCCAGGATTAAAGAAGGGCTAGATTTCACAGAATTAGAACAACATAGCTGAAGCAAAAAAGAAAAAAAAAAAAAACAGACGAGAGAGTGCATTCTTAAGTGCCCAAAGAAGAGAAACTAATTCATGAAGACTCACACTTTACTGATAATCTTCAGTGATGAAATAAAACGAACACAGAAGCGTGGAGCAAAGGGAAACTCAGATAAGCATGGGTATTCAAATTTTGTTTGCAAACTTTCAAAGACGCTTGTTAAATAGCCCCCTAAGTCCCTGCTTTAAAGACCTAAATCAGTCATGAGCATAAATATTTTGGATATGCTGCAACAGCTGGAGAAATACATTTGTTTTTTAGAAAAAACTTTCCATATTATTCAATTAGAGCCAATAGAACTTGAGTGGTACATATGCCCACGTACCATTCTGAATAATTGTAGGTAGGCTCTTCTTTCAGTTTTATATTATTACTGTTGCATCTAGAATTTGACGAGAGTCCATATCTAAAACATAATTTAATCTCATCTATTTTTATGCTTGAAAAACCTTTATTGATATAACACATTGCTGAACAACATAAACCCTAATAGGAAGAACACCCATTTATTTCTCTAAGGTGACAAATAAATGTTCTTTGAGGTGTTAATACTAACAGAATTGACTCTGTGAAAACTCCACAACTATATTATAAATTTTGATAAACAATTACTACACAAAATAGTTTTATAAGTTACTCTCCCACATTGATGAACGAGAGATTATATTTGCAATTGGCTCAAAATTATAAATATCATTTTCTTCACCAAAAGGAAACAGGCCGTGTCAGCAATTCTATCCTTTATAAAAGATCACCAGGAAAAATTGTTCACAAAAATAAGGAGACAAGAATGTGAAGGTTACTTTCACAGGAATGTCAGAATTCTTTGACCTCTGTGGGTCATTCATGCCAAAATTCACATGGTAATCTATCATCAAAAATTATTTTAATGACCTACCAGTTGACAAGTAGATTAAGTTTGCCTTCAGTTCTGTTGAAAACTAGGGAACCACCTGCCTGCAGAAAATGAGGGAGACCTAATCATATCAAGAAGCCATGTGAGCAACCACAGACATTACAGGGAAAAACCAAAGGACGTGTTCATTCGTTCTAGCTGGAGAGAAAAGTCTCTCACCTGTGTCATTCAAACCAAAAAAAAAAAAAAAAAAAGGTAAGATCCAATGGCACATTTGACAGCCAGAGCATGGCCAGATGCAAACGTAAGTCACAGCAATACTCATTTAGACAGCCAAATGAATGCTGACCAGTTAACACACTTACGATATAACAATTACACTAAAGTGTGGAAACTGAGGTTTCATGAAAGAAGTTGCAGTAAGAGCAAAAAATAATTTTTTACAATTTTTTTTTCCTATTGGGGGTACTTTTCTTATTCAGCCAATTTCTCTTCTAGGAAGTCATAACTGATTTTTAGTGGAAAAAGTAGTTTGCGATGTGCAATGTACAAACGAGATTCCTTAGTAATCTCTACTTTTTCCCCCACAAGAATCACGAGAAGTGAAATAGAAAAAGGAAACCCTATGTACCACAGAGCTGAGTGAAGCTAACTCTTAAGATGTGCCCAGCCCTTGTTTTGAGCTAATTGAAGGCAGCTTTCTCCCTCTTTACCGCTATTATGTTATTAATAATATGAGGTAGTTTCTTCACCCTAGAATACCTTCTCATTATCTTTTAAGGTGAAAGACAGGGACTCACTAGGAAAGTAAAATAAAGCCCCATACAGAAAAACTTCAAAAAGATGCAAAAGAGACAGGATTATCCTGTCTCAAAGATCCAAGTCATGTGAATGAAACACAAATGCTAATTGAATATAGATAGAATCATTATATGTTACATGAAGTACTTTCTGGCTGATCACGTCTGTTTTGTGTATAACTTCAGAGTACCACCAAACCAAAGAAATGTCCCAGCAGGTGATGCTTGCTTATAAGAGAAAATAATGCTTTAATAACAGTATATCATGCATGCCATGAACAACATGCAGGGAAGTCTGATGTCTTTAACTGCTTTGGGTAACATTCACTCTTAATAGAGTAGTTGTTCGTCAGTGATTCTAAATTCCAAGACTTCTCATAATTTCTATACTCGTCTTGACTTAAAATGAGAAATGCATTTGCATCTGTAGCATAAAATACCAGAGAAATTCTGAGAATTAAAATAATGGAAATCTTTTACTTGACATTTTACCTAATCACAGCAATATTGAGCTCTTATGCAGAAAGAATAAAAGACATACATATATGTATAAAGAGTAAAATAAATAAAAATTCTCTATCATTTAGTTTGTTTATGGTTTGCAGCAATAAACTTTAAGAGTATCACATTTTTCTGTGGTAGCTGTCGAAGTGAATTTGGGAAGCACATGGTTCTATTCACTGTGAGGATCTTAGGTGTGGAAGAGAATTGGGAGCTGAAAAGGTGGTGACTCTAATACAGAAGTGAGTTAAGACTGTAGCCCATATTCAGATCAGCTGTACTACAAGACTTGGTTGGACTGTAGAGGCTGGACACATGCTGCCTTTGTACTAGATGAACTGCCACTCACCAGTCATTAGACCTTGTCAGCTCAACTCTGGGGCCTCCATGAGATCAAGCAGCTGACTTGAAGATACAGGAATC